GGAAAAAGTGTTCAAATGGTAGAAGAGAAGGAATTTTGTGGTGCACAGTGCCTGCTCCTACCTCTGGGGTTAGGTTTGTTAACCCCTTTGGGGTTAGGTTTATTAACTGTTTGGGTTTCCTGCTTTCCATGACAAGCCCAGCTGTCATCGAATCATAGAATTTTAAAGGTTGGAAAAGACTTCGAAGATCATCAAGTCCAGCTGTCAACCCAGCACCATCACCATGTTCACCACTAAACCAGGTCTTCAGGTGTCACATCCACACATCTTTTGGTGTGAGCACCTCCAGGGATGGTGACTCCACCACTGCCCTGAGCAGCCTGTTCCAGTGCTTTGCAACCCTTTCAGTGAAGAAATACTTCCTAATATCCAGTCTAAACCTTCCCTGGTACAACTTGAAGCTGTTTCCTCTCATCCTGTCAGCCCACAATTTAAGCCCAAACCCAAAGCACCCACCTTCCTTTGTGTTCCATCTTGCCTGATGTCTCCCAAGGGTGGGTAGAGGGGCAGAGGAGCTGATGTGCTCTGGGCTGTGGCACCTTTAGAGCCCCTCTTGCCCTCTGTGTTCCTGGTGCAGGTGACCGAGGTGTGTTTCAGTCCTGACGAGACTCACTGTGCCACGTGCGGGGAGGATGGCAGCGTCAGGATCTGGGCTCTGAGCAGCACGGAGCTGGTGGTCCAGTTCCAGGTGCTCAACCAGGTCAGTGTTTGTGGTACATCATTCCCTTCCTTTTGGCACAGGGAAGCATCCACTGTGTCGCCTCTGGTTCCTTCGCAGAGCTGCCAGTGCCTGGCCTGGAAGCCTCGTCCCGTTGGGATGTGGGGAGCTGAGAACCAGCACGTGGTGGCTGGGTACAGTGACGGCACCATCCGCGTGTTCAGTGTTTCCAGGACAGAGATGGAGCTGAAAATGCACCCCCACAGCGCTGCACTGACAGCAATCACCTACTCCACGGATGGTGAGACTGCCCAGGGTCACAGCAGGGACGTGACCCTCGGGGAATGTGGCTTGGTGCCGCCTGGGTTACCCTGACCTCCAGCTGCTCTGTGTCCTGGCCACCTGCCCAACACCCTGGGGCCGGGGAGAGCCACAGAACTCGTCTCAGTGAGCTTTGGTGGCTCTGCCAGCTGAGCATGTGGTGAACAGGAGATGGGAGGTGTATTGGCAATGGAATAACAAAGGGGGTTGGGTACAACAAACCCTTTTGTGCCCTCCTGCTTACGATCTACCGTGGCTCTTCTTCAGTGTAGAGGTCTCATGGGTGTCTGAGACATCTCATCTTACTCAGCCCTGGACTGGGATGTTCCCAGCCTTTCACAGTGTTTTGGGACACTGATATCCCATGATCTTGGACCTTTCTCCTCTTGGCTGTTCTTCCCAAGTGTCCCATTCTTTTGTCTCCTTTCAGGAGAAAGGATCTTATCAGGGGGCAAGGATGGGCTGGTGGCTGTGAGCAGCCCTCGCACTGGAATGACTATCCATGTCCTGGCTGACCACAGAGGCTCCCCCATCACTGTTCTCCAGTGCACCAGGAAGCAGGTGAGACCCCACAGGAGCAAATCCTCATGTGTCACTGCACAGCTGTGGGAAGCAGCATGGTCAGTGTCTGCTTCCTTGTCCCTTGCTTTCCCTCTTCAGGCCCCCATCCCCTCCAGTAACTCCTGATCACTTTTTCCAGGGATATATTATTTGTGCACCAGTGGGATGGTTTTAGCTCCTCCTTTGTCTTCCTCTTCATGAAGAGTTTTTTTCCTTTGTGTAGCAGAATTGGGAATAATTTTCCCCAAGTTCTCAGGCTGTACAATCATCCACGCTGTAAGGCTGTGTTCCCTTGTAATTCAGACCGAGGAGATCCAGAGTGCCAGTGTTGTGTTTGTGTTCCCCTAGTACCACGACTTCGGGGTGGAAGGGGGGGAGCTCTGGCTGGCCACCAGCTCGGACCGCCGGGTCAGCGTCTGGGCCTCCGACTGGCTCCAGGACAAGTGTGAGCTCCTCGACTGGCTCAGCTTCCCGGCTCCTGCCGACCCCGAGGTGAGCCTGGCTCCTGCCAGCCCCTGCCTGCTCCTGGCGCGGGGCTTGGCACCAGCAGACATAGAGGGGGGATGCACAGGGCTCTGGCAGAGACAGTGTTCTTAGGAACGTCATCTCTGTTAGTTCTGCTCACAGAGTATCTTGTTAACAAACCTTCTTTGGTACTGCTACAATTGCTTTCCACACACAACTGTCCCCAAGCACCGACTTTTAAGCATGAGGAGCCCAAAACTGCACCTGCAAAGAGCTGACAGCCCTGTGCCAGCAAACCAGAGCACAGGCAGCCGTGAGCGCAGCGTGCAGGAGGGGGAGAGCTAATTAGGAGTGTGCTGCTTGCTCTGACGCTCTTGAGGAGCATGAATATTCCAAGCCAGGAGCGCCACGACAAGTTCACAGAGCCAAGTACTCAGCCCTGGGTGTCTGGGCTGCTTGGCAGAGGCCTCTGGCTCCAACCCAGGGTGAGGTTTGGGCAGCAGGACAACTGCTAGAAATGGAGGAAGGATCTGTGTTGGAGAGGATGTGGACATGCTCCCTGGTGACACTGGCAGGCAAAAGGAGCTTCCATACAGCAGCTGGGTTCTGTCAATGTTTCTTCTTTTTCTTTCGAAAACGTTGGATTTTCTTTGGAAGGAAACCCCCCACAGCTCTCCCCAGAGTGAGAAGGATTAATCTTGCATCTACTACTCAAGATCTGTCTTCTGGGCCCTATTTTCTTGTGGTAAACCAATCCATAACCCAATCCCACCTTCAAGCCCCTGCAGCAACATCTCCAGTAGAAATTCAACCTGCTGGA